AATAGAGGGACAGAGGGGGGATTGGGGTATGATAGAAGGACGGAGGGGGGATTGTGCGGCTTACACATCCTTTGCAGAAGACGTGTATCCAAACCTCTGTCATTGTCCTTAGTGGTGAGACAAGTTGTTTTACATGCTGGTTTGTGGGTGTGCCATGATGCCTTTCTACTGGGATATAATAGAGGGACAGAGGGGGGATTGGGGTATGATAGAAGAACGGAGGGTGGATTGGGGTATGATAGAAGGACGGAGGGTGGATTGGGGTATGATAGAAGGACGGAGGGGGCAGAGAGGGCTAAGAGATTCACCATCTATATGTGTCCTCGCTGGGGAGATTCACCATCTATATGTGTCCTCGCTGGGGAGATTCACCCTCTGTATGTGTCCTCTTGTCTCAGGTTTGGAAAGTGAGGGAAATCCAAAATGTTGCCGTTGTCACAGTAACGGGGAATGGGGACACCTGTCCCGGTGAGGGGAATTCCTCCCGCTTCCTGTTGTGTCTCTCCTCCTGGGCACAGTTTGGAGGATGACAGATGCCGGCACATACCTGAGCGATGGTCCCCGGAGCTCCGTCATCCCCATCCATGGATCAGACACTTGTGAATGGGGTAGACATCCGCCATTGTTGGTGAGGATCTGTGGCCAGCTGGGCTCTCGTCCTCCTTGCCCCGGGCACACAGGCAGATCGGGAGAGGTATAGTTATATATGTCCCCCTTGTGGTCACATCGGCCATGTCTGGAGCCCCGGCCCACCCTGCAGAGGAGTGATAAGCAGCAGAAAACTTTCCCAGAACTTCCTCCCCTGAAACGCAGACACACAGAGCAACCCGAGGAAAGGCTCAAATTCCGGGGGTGAGTGTCAGAGAGAGGCGGGGGGTGGAAAAACTTGCACAATTGGGGGCTGACTAAATACTTTTTTGCCCCACTGTATATATAGGGGGGGTCACTATACTGTACAGTAAGACTCCTCTCCCTGCTCCCCTCCATGGGCTTCTCATTGAATCTCCTATGTATGGTCTGCAGATGATGATAATAAATCTGAATTCACAATTACAAGGATGAGGCTTCCACTTACCCTAATGGATTCGCTCCCTCCCTGGGCCTGAACGCAGCCAAATCTCACATGCATCAGCATGCGGCATGGGAACGATGAGGATCGATAACCTGAAAGATCATCTTTGTGAATTCACTTTAACATACAAAATGACGCCATGCATTAAACACGACACGCATGTGGCGGACTGATCATGCGTGTGTGTGTGTGTGTGTGCGGTAATGTCTATTGTAATACAGAGAACGCACAGTAACCGACGCATGTCTTGTGCTCCTGTGCATTGAGTCCGTTGTCCTATGTGATGATGATTTGTCCATGTCGTCTTGTCCTCATCATCTCTCTCTCTCTTTCTCTCTCTCTCACCTGCACTCTGCAATCAATGACACTCCTACAGACGCTTGCACGCATTCTGCTTCTGCGACTAAGTGCCGATGCCGACCTTCTCCGCAGGTACGTCCCAGCTGCCCTCGGGCATGACGGTGCCACGGGGGTGGTAATGCCCTCTGTGCGCCATGTCCACCATAGAGCAACCCCACTGGTGGTGTCATCGCTGGGGGTGAGGATGGTGTAATTGTGGTGATGGTAGGTGGTGTGGGTATGACGGTGATCTCCGTAATTGTGTGCTGTCACTATCGGAGTGATCGGGGTGTTGGTGATATGGGGATCATCTCTGAAGGACTTGAAAAGAGGAAGATCCGGGGAATTACTGCTCATAGTGACTAATCAGACTCGTTGTAGAGGATATGAGATAAAGCTAAACCACACAGGTATATGTGATGTGAAGACACAGCCAGCCCAGTTACCTCATTTTTCTCTACTGCACTAAGAAAACAGAGCCTGGTCACCTCCCCGCCCCCAGCCTATAATTGGACAGTGAAGGGGCAGCAGCAGACTGATGAGATCATCACTCTGCTCCCTCCTGCTGTTTCTTGGAAACACACACACACACCCTGATTGGCTCCTAGTACTTCCCTTCCGTTTTGCAGCAAGACCTACAGCAGATTAGAGGACGCTGATGCCGAGTCAGATTCGGGTAATTGGATGCATTTGAAAACACATATAATGATTTTCCGATGAATATATACCCGCAGTAATTGTTTTATCGGCACCCAGACCCTACATAGTGGTGACAACTCTGCTTGGAATCTAGAAGCAGTGCAGCATCGTTGTCACCCCATCACAGGAAGCTGCATAAGGGGGACATCATTGGCAGGACCAGCAGTATTTATGCAGCGCATTGTGACACTCTAGAATGCATCATAACGTGCTGTCGGACGTTGAGTTAGATGAACTGTCAGTTTTAATAAAGTTTTTCATAAAAGTAAAAAAATCAGCGCAATATGTTGTACAATGCACTAGAGCAGGCATGTGCAGCGCGCACCAGCAGACTCACATTATGCACAGATTGATGCCTGCCCACTGGTGTGAATAAGCCCCTTTCTGTTCTTGCTCTGCCTAAGGCCACAAGGGGAATGAATGACCGTTGTGTCCCGGCCTCTCTGCTCATTTATATTCGTATATAGGATAATGGGAGGAAGGATACATTGTTATAGAAATGATTAACATTTGTGTAAACCGGAAGGTGGAATATGAAATATCCAGCACTGCGCACGCTGCCAATTGGAGGACATGTGGCAGAGTACGGCGATGGGTGCGGCGTGTGTACTGTATGTGGGAGTGTCTGTGTGAATAATGCCGGTGAATGTTGGTGTAGTGGCGACAAAGTTCCTAGAAGCGCGGGGAGGAAATATTGTGTAGATGAAGATAGAGAAATGTATCTGCGTGCTGCACCCAGAGGAACAGATCAGGCCGGAGTGTAAAATCTATATATCATCGTGTGTGTGTGTGTGTGTGTGTATATATGTTTGAGGCTAATTATATTAGCCGAGTTTGTGGGAGGAGTCTGAGCCTCCAGGGCCCTTAAACACGGAGGCGAAAGGTGGACGCATCTGCTGCTGACCTCCGGCGTACCCTCCAACCACTACACCAACATTCACCGACATTATTCACACATTGCAGACACACACGCCGCACCCATCACCGTTCCATCTTACACAAATGTTCATCGTTTCTATGACAATGCAGCTTTCCTCATGTTACTACACAGCCGATGTCCTGGGGGGGCGCCCTGAGAATGGGGGGCTGTGCCCAGGGCCGGCCTTAGGCCTTTAGGCGCCCTGTGCGAGAAAGCTTTACAGCGCCCCTCAGTGGCCACACCCCTCAGTGGCCACACCCCCAGTAACCACACCCATTTATCACCCATATTTTTGGTAAAATTTAAAAAGACGGGGTGACGTCGGGTAAATAGACACCAAACATGTCATGCTTTAAAATTGCGCGCACCCGCAAAATCGCAAAAAATTACCATGACAAAATTGACCATAGGTGACACTTTAAAAGCTTTTACCGCTCATCAGTTTAGTGTTATCAGTGATTGATGGCCCTACAATTATTGCTCTCATTCCGACGTTCGCGGCGATATGTAACATGTGTAGCGCAATTGTCATTTTCGCGTGCTGGCGCATGCGACGCATATTTACGTTTAAATGTGCG